GTCTCGCCGTGCTCCACAGGTCCACCAGAGCTCCACCCCCCGACGAATCAGCATCATCAGTTCATCACCGTCCACTAAAGCAATCAATTATCAAACTGTCAGCAGTGAATAAATTAAGCATCAAAGTTTTCCAATGTGCCTTTGGGTTAAGAAATTGAAATGGGGCCTCCAATGTCTTTATTGAAAAATCTTCGATTCCCTACGGAAGATGCATTCTTCTTTTAGGATTCCGATTTGGTTGGGGGGCATGATTTTGTTTTGTACTAGTTATTCACACAACAGCCTTGTGTGGCTTCTGTAGGGCGGCATTGGAAGATACCAATCACTTGTTTTTGGAATGTCCCTTTGTAATAAAATTGTAGTGGAAATGTCAAGAATGGTGGGGACTGAGCTGTGTGAATTATAATGAGTGTAGAAAGGCTTTTGTTCAGCATGTCTTCTATTCAAAAAACAAATGGGTTAGGCAAGGTTGAGAAACTATTTGATTTGGCCTCACATGCACCATATGGTTAGCAAGAAAAGAACAAATTTTTAGAAATATAAAAAGTTCTATCGAGAGGTTGTTTGACCTTATATAGATCCAAACATTCTTTTGGATCAGTGGAAGGGTGGCTGGATCGCTATTTTCTAGTGCAGATTGGATACAAAGCCCGGTGTTGTGCTTAAAGTCAATACAAGGTGGGTTGAAGAGGAAGTGAAGAGCTTACAGTGTCGACACATTATTTTGGTGTCGACACCAAACGGGAGGGTTAGCATTCAAAATACCGACACGGACTTGGTGTTGACACGTAATTTTGGTGTCGACACCAAACGGAAGGAATGAGCATCCGAACCCGATACGGACGTGGTGTTGACACATAGTTTTGGTGTCGACACCAAGCAGCAGTGATATTCAACTATGTAACCTATGCCTTTTAGTTGGGATGTTTAAGGGTTTGAGATACCCTTGTATTTTTTTTTTTCAATAAATATTATTTTTACTGTTTAAAAAAAAAAAACCTTTAAATTAATAGACATTTAGAGAAATTTGTGGGTCAACTTTGTAAAATAAATTAATTAGGAAATGTAGCTAAGGCCACATTTCGATTTTAGTTTATGCACTAGAACCGCATGCTCCCATCCTATTAGATTATATATTTCTTTGAAAAAAAAAGTTATGTAGCATAAATTAGAATGAATTCATTTTTTTAATAGTACCATATTTTTTTATGAATGAAAACCTTTTTGGCTTCAAGATACTACTAGTTTAGAACTTTTTTTGGCCTAAATCTTCTCATATTTTAAAAAAACAGTGAGTTTTGATTAATTCAAAGTTAAAATTAAGTTTAACCTCATCAAAAAACTATC